ATCTTCATAACGGGAACGAGTGACTTGATTTTGACCACCGGAGTTCGAACTTGGCATCAGCGCGTCTTGATTGTTTTTCTTGAAAATTAATTTTTCCTCCTCGTTCGCTTCTTCACCTTCGGATATATCCACATCGAACATCTTGTCAGGATCCACGTCAAAAGCAGCACCAGCATCAGCAATATCCACAGCAGTATCTTCGATAATTTCTTCGTCTTCTTCGGGCGGTAGCAATTCTTCAATTACCACAGGCTTTTCTTCTTGTTGGACGGCTTCTTCAACAACTTGATCTTTTTGTATCGACAACGCATCAGTACCAGTAGCACTCAACTCAGGCAACACAGACGAAGGCATATCCACAATAGAATGATCACGCAAAGCACCAGCAGGCCATCTCGCTCTTGAAGCAGCAACATCGAACCACGGCTTTGTTTCCAGTATTGTATCCATCGTCTTTACCTTTTTTAATCTATCGGCGTGCACCCAGTCTTGTTTTACGACACCACCAAAGGTTTCCAATTGGTACACATCAGTTTGGTCATTCTTCTTGAATATCCGGTAAGGTCCTTCCCAGTTATATTCCAAACCATAGCGTTGTTCCAGACGTAATAATACTAAATCACCGATTTCGAATTCAATAGGTTGAATAATAGAGTCCCACTTGGTCTTGACTTTATCAGCATACGACTTGGCACGGAATTCAGCAGCAGCTCTTGCTTGACCTAAATCTTCAAGTTCCTTTGCGGTTCTGGCATTATTGGACAACTCATCTTGTACTTCTTCTCTTGATAAAAACGGACGCAAGGAATCACCAGGCAAAACAGGTTCACGACCATACACCAAATAAAACGGCGAATAACCAGTTGTAGAATGCTTGCGAATTCTCAAGGCCCAAACAGCAGAATCAAGGTATAAGTCCCATTCGTGTATTGCACCATGTAAGTATTTACGTAACATTGTCTTGATCATACCATTGACCCTTTCTACTTTGCCATTAGTTCTAGGATGAAACGCTGAAGTAAACTTGTGATTAATACTGATTCTACTTGTATACTTGGACAACACATCCGACATAAATTGACTTCCTCTGTCAGATACAATCTCCAACGGACAACCAAATCTCAACACAATTTCTTCATACAAGAAATTTGCTACTGTAGTCGCTTTTGCATCAGGACACGCTCTTGCTATCGGCCAACTCGTTGCGGAATCCACAGCCACTAGAATCCAACGGTTACGATTACGGGTCACCGGTAGTTCTCCAACAAAGTCCAAATGCCACCTTGCGAACGGTTGTGCAGTCTCCAAAGGGTGTAACGGCGCTTTGTGCTTGCTCTTATCAGGTCGACCAGCTAATTGACACTCTTGACAAGTCTCCAACCAGGTACGTACTTCTTTATCCATATTGGGCCACCAGTATCTTGACTCCAGCAAGTGCATCATTGTTTTAATACTTGCATGACCAGCTTGTTGATGATACTTGCTAACTAACTCGGCTCTTTCCACATATGGTACGAAAGGAATCCAATCGTCGACCCCCCTACGCCTTAAAATCACCTTATCTTCTGTTACCTTCCAGCAATCTTTGTCTTTCTGTAGTTGGGTCTTGACTTCAGCAGGAACGGCACCATCATCATATAACAGGTACAACGGCCAATCCGAATCGTGGACAACAGGCGGCAACAAAGTATCCAAGGCATAAAGGTATTCGGTACAACAGGGACATCATCTTCACCATCATCAGATTCATCGGCTTTACTCGGCATCCTTGACAAGGCATCTGGCACCACTTGGTCTTTTCCTGGGCGATATTGGATATTGGGATTGTATAGCTCCAGTTCATTCATCCACCTGGTCAGTCTTGGCGTGGGCAACTTCTGCGATCGATAATACTTTAAAGGTAAATGATCTGTGTATACAACATAATTAGTACCATCGATGAAACACCTCCAAGTACGCAACGCATGCAAAATAGCTAACAATTCTCTTTCCTGTGCAGGGTATGCTTGTTCGGCTTTGGAGAACTTATGTGATTCGAATGCCACCACGTATTCCTTGTTATCAGCATCCACCTGGGTCAACACAGCACCACACGCAAAGTCAGAAGCATCGGTATAAATGGCATATGGACGATCAGTATCAGGGGCACGAAGAATCGGTGCATTGGTTAAACGATCCTTCAGCGTCTTGAAAGCTTCTTCACACTCGGCATTCCACTGTATCTTTCGGCGTTTGGGTCCTTGTCCTTGGGTTTGATTGACAACGGAGCAGCAATATTAGCAAAGTTGGCAACAAAACGACGATAGTATGATGCTAATCCCAAAAACTGTCTGATCTCCTGTACATTGGTTGGTGTGGGCCATTCACGAATCTTCTTGACTTTAGCATCCTCGGGCAGAATTCCATTGGCAGTAACCTTGTATCCCACGAACGATAGCTCTTGTACACCAAATCGACACTTCTCCGGATTCAGATATAACTTATGCTTGCGTAACTTGTCCAATACCATACGTACATGCTTTTCATGGTCTTCTAAGGTAGGTGAAAAGATTAGTATGTCATCCAAATAGACAAGCGCAAACTTATCCTTAAATTCCTCCAAAACACGATTCATTAGGGACTGGAAGGTTGGCGGGGCATTGGTCAATCCGAACGGCAACACCTTGAATTGAAATTGGCCGTATCTTGTGTTGAACGCGGTCTTCTCCTTATCTTGATCTCGTAGGCGTACTTGGTGATATCCAGACTTCAGATCCAATGTCGAGAAATACTTGGCGGTTCCCAATTGCTCCAAACATTCGTCAATTCTTGGTAGTGGATACTTGTTTTTTATGGTGACCTTGTTGATAGCACGGTAATCAACACACAGACGCATGGATCCATCCTTCTTGCGAACGAACAGAACAGGTGCACCCCACGGCGAATGACTAGGTTCGATCAGTCCTTTTTCCTTCAACTTGGCAAGTTGCTCTTGTAGTTCCTTCAACTCCTTGGGACTGGTCTTGTATGGCGGTCGGCTAATGGGTTTTGCTTCTCCAGTATCGATAACGTGCTCAATATCACGTTCAGGCGGCAGATCCGGTAAGTCATCCTTGAATAGATCGGCATAATCCTTCTTGATCTTAATATTTAACGGACTTATGTCATCTTCTTTAGGTACAGACGACTCGGTTATCAGCAACCACCTCATTTCACCACCATGTTTGACAGCACGATCAGCTTGCTTGGGGCTACAGACGAAATTTAACTCAGGATCTTGCTTGGGCATCTCCGGCTTCAAAATGATATCTCCATTCGGCTTCTTGATTGTCCACGTGCGGTCAGACCAATTCGGCTTTGGATTTGCACCCTTCAACCATTCCAACCCTAAAATCAAATCAAAACGACTTGGAAAAATCAGTGCTCGAACGACATACTCTTCTTCTACACCTGTACTTCCCCGGAAAGTAATCGGAATTTCGGCCACGTTCTTCACCCACATAACACCCTTCGCTGCTGTCTTGATCGGCAACGGTTCTTCTAGCTTGGTCTTCTTGAATCCTTTGGCCCACCGTTTTGACACATAGTTGGACGTAGCACCTGAATCAATCAACACACTAATCGGCTCATCTTTGATATACGCTTCGTAAGTAGGTAATCCACAAGAATCCATAGTCGTATTAATCTCATGCAAATGGTCGCTCTCCTTCTTCCAATAGTCACTATCGGCCACCACCTTCGATTCGATCACCAACGCATCTTCCACCTCTTTGCCAGCATGAGGACCTTTATTTATACGCAAGGTCGATCCTCCTACAGTCCTTGCGTCTTGTCTTTTAAACCTTCGGCTGCCTTCTTCACCAATGGACAATCCTTGACAAAATGATCAGAACTACCACAACAGTAACATCCTTTACGATTTCTTGACGGCTTGGTGGTCTTCTTCTTATCCTTGTCTCTCTTGGTTGACGCTTCAACGTAGTCCAATTCCATGGGCACGGCACCGGTCTTCCTCTTCCAACGGAGTCTTGGTTCACCAGACGATTGACGAGCTTCTTCGTACGCCAATGCATACTCGCCAGCAGCAGTAACCGTTTTAGGAGCGAAGGTACGTACATGCGCTTGTACCTCCGACCTTAGTCCACGCACGAACTTGTCCAGGGCTTCGGCATCCGATACATCTCCAACCACCATTCGAAGTTCTTCAAACTGCTCGATGTAGTTAACCACGGATCCTGATTGATATAACCTAGCTAACCTGTCTCTTGCATTATGGTAGGCACCTGCGGGAACGAACGACACTTTTACGGCAGCACGCAACTCATCCCAATTCTCCGGCACATCCGACGAACTATCTGCTTGCAATCTTCTCCACCAGATTTTAGCTTTCGGTCCCAGCAAAGTAATAGCGAAATCCAGGCGATCGTTGTATGGCATGTTGGTCATCTTGAAGTAATGATCCATATCCGCGATCCAGTTTTCGACTTCCACGGCATCACGATTTCCACTAAGGTGTCCAGGTAAGGGAATCTTTACTTTATGTGATTGGAATCCGGCATCACCACCAGCTTGACGGGTCATAAGTAGGTTGATGGCGTTGGCCATTTGGATCATAGCTTCTTCGAAATTAGATGACATTCTTGACACAAGCTACCAGTTGTTGGATCGTAAGTACTATATAAATCACTGGGTAAAGGTAAATGGGTTTTAGAAGAGAAGTAGACAATAGAATAGATATTTTATTGATTGATAGTTAATAGTTAATAATAATAAAGGACAACTTATATATATATGTGATGTTAATGGCTGACTACGAATTAATGAACATGTCAGGGTATGTCAGGAGATGTTTGATGGAAAGAAAAGAAAAGAAGAGATAAATTAAATGTCCGACGGTCAGGTGATCGTCGACTGTCGTTTTCGAGGGTCGGCTCTTCTTTTCACCGAACGTTTACCTAAAGAGGGAACTACCATAGGGATACCTGCTTTATCATGAGGCCAAGATCTAACACTTCAGTTAAGGTGATATGGCCGAGTTGGTCTAAGGCGCCGCACTCAAGTTGCGGTCTCGCAAGAGGCGAGGGTTCAAATCCCTCTGTCACCACTTTTTCTACTTCCCGATTATCGGAGTTGAAAATATTTTTGTGTTGCGGCTATAACTGGTTGTTGTTATGGCACCAAAGGTAGTAAAAGTAGGTTTTGTTTTATAAAAGAGTAGTGAGCACCAGAATCTTTTTGGTAAGATTCAACCTTTAAGATGTACTTGAATGTACTTGGTAATTTAAGAGGGAAAAAAATATCGACCGAGGCAAGTCGGGATTTGAAAATAAAATAAAAAGAGGCCCTTGAAGCAAAGTAAGAGCAGTAAAGGCAGAAGTTACGCTTGTTAAGTAACTTGTATATAAAAGAGAGAGGCTAAAGAAGATCTTTTTAGTTTTGTACTAAAGTTTTTATTTGAGAACTTGTTAACTGAAGAAGAGATAAAAGAACAGAAAAAAGCTGGCTATTTATACTAAAAAAAAAATATCGGACAACAGTGATGGTAAAAATAAGGCAACGGTGGTGGTAAAAACAAAGACATCGGTGGTGGTAAGAATAAAGTTACTTTAGGTGGTAAAAAATATAGAGAATCAAGTCGATAATCAGTTTGGCTGCATAGCCCAATTCATTAGTTCGTCAAGGTTAAATAAGCCGCCCAAGGACGGGGTTTCAAGTTCGTCCTCCTCAACACTTGTCTTCTTTCTTTTATCTTCCTTGCATATCATCGTACTAAACTTCAAATGGTAATAGATTAAAGCACATACTGTTGAGCCATTTAAATAGATGAAAACATTTTTTTATCATTTTTTTTTCTTTCTTTCTTATTTTGAACTTGATTCTGTGAGTAGTTATTTTACTTGTTCCAATGATATTCCAATGATAGGCATGAATGAAGGTATATATTGAAGAAACTACAAAGTTCTACACAATGTTATTATAATGGTTTCACTTTTGATATACGGAAGAAATGACATGCGCTTCATCTTTGCAGAGAGAAAAAATAAAAAGTAAGCCGACCATAAAAGGCAATTGGACCCTTCTTCCTGCCCATCATCCCCTTCTATTCATAGCGATTAGATAATCATAATACAACGTTCGGAGGCAACTGATCTAATATCTTTCTATAAACCCTCTTTCCATCTATATAAATACCTATTCACATGGGGATAAAGCCGTATACCCATCACCTTTCTTCTAAAACAACAAACATCATTATAAAGTCATCCATCTTTTATTACTGTTATCATTTATAATAAAGCTAATCTACTTTACTATCTATGTATCTATGTATCTATGTATTTAAATAAGGAAAATCTACCCAAGATATGTCGCCAAAGAAATCGTCATCATTCATCATGGTCGGATATTATGGCAAACACATTCAAACTAGCCAAATTAATCGGTGAATCGTATTCCTTTGCTAATGCAAACATATCCCCCATATGATCAAAGTTGATATGAGGACTATAGCTTGAGATCAGCATATACCGTTGGCCAGGAAGATCAGGTAGTGGTGTAACGTTGGGGCAAATCAAGAGTGTCCTAAAGAGTAAAAAATCTGTTTTTAGCCATACAGTCATACACCCAACATCCCTCTCCTTTCTTTTTTTTTTTTCTTTTTCTTCTTTACCTTTCATATGTTCCAGGTGTTTCCTTGGAAGCAGCAAATTCTACCTGTACACGGTCCTTGTCATGTTTTCGATATGCGCTGCCCTGACGGGGTTTCAATGCATTGTAGAGCTTGGTTTTATCGCCTGCCACATCTTCGATCGAGACTTGAGCAGGTCCATCTACAGAATTAACATTAAATTATTAGTACAACCTACCTGCCACTCCCACTTTTTTTTTTTTTTTTTTTTTTTTTTTTTTTTTTTTTTAATTATCTTTTTACCTTTCCAAGCCAATGGGAACGACAATAAATGTCGAGGAGGCATATAAGTCTTGTGGAATATAACGTGGGTCGTAAGATTGAATCCATTAGTGGTGATAGGGCCTAATAACAAGAGAGTAAGTTTAAGCATTCTGATACCCACCCATCTGAATAGCTACTTACCACCAACTGGGGTGATATCGCAGGTCAGGTCTCCAGAGGCTAATAATTCACATCCATTGATCCCCATTGATTGACGTTGAACAAAGGATATGGTAGGAACAACTCCAGCCTACATATATATATATATATATATATATATATAAAAGAAGAAATTAAGCACACCATGTTACATGTTTTAGTTTCCCATTACCTGATGTAGATTTCCAAAGATGAAGGATGTTACCAAATTGAATGCACACCAAAGAAGCTATATAATGTTAATACACAATGTTAGTATGTGATCCTTATTTTGACATTTCTATAGGTTAGCTTACCATAAATGGAAGGGTTCCAATTGATGATGTTTGATCCCACGTATACACCATCACCAAAGGTACGAGCATGGGTACCAGGAATCGTGCTTCTTGATGTGGCATCAAAGATAGCCCAATCATTGCATTGACAACAATCCCTGCCAGTACTACATATAATAATAAAAAACCCCTCTATCTTGATTAGTTTCCTTGGACGATATCTTTTCTTTTTTCTTTTTCTTGGACATACCATAAAACAGATACCCTGGCGATTCTTCACGGGCTTTTTTCATTGTAGTCACAAACGCCCAGAGTGCCATCACAGCCAGAGGACCATAGAGTAAAGGAAAGTTCACCAAGAGATGGGTGTAGCGCGGGTGCAGACCATGAAGTGCCAGATTGTCCACCTTGAGATTATAAGCCAAATTATTCCATACCGTCCATGTCAGCCCACCTTCCCATCGAAGAGAGAGTAAAGAAGTAACAAAAGGCTGATCGAGTGGCGTGCCCGCTTGCCATATCAGTTTTAGACTGCCATAGTAGAGGGAATCTGTCACCACCATTACGCCCGCCACCAATGATGCACCCAAAAGGAACATCACCATACTATGAATCAATCGACCTTGACGTCTATCCATCAAAAAAACATATAAAAAAAGTTAACCAAGTGTGTTATTCATTTGATGGGTCGGATACTTACCTTGCAAGATACAAAAAGGCCAGACCTATTGGGAATCCATACAAAAGGAAGGTGATGCGGGTAAACAGACCAGCACTGATAAGACAGCCCATACCAAACCCAGAAGATTGACGACCATCAAAGTTGACAAGAGCAAGTAGACTAAGACTGAGTATGACAGATTCGATCGCATTGGAGAAGGGTCGCGTATTATAAACCATGGTGACTTGGCTGGTGGCTACAAAGAGGAGGGGCAATACTTCGTCTTTTCCCAAACGTTGACAGAGTCGATACACCACATAATCTACAAAATGGAGATGGATAGTAAGTTTTTTTTTTCCCTCCTCCCAAATGTTCCTTTACCTGTCACCAAAGTCAGGCCAAAACAAGCTGATCGCTCCACCAGAAACAAAGTCAATGTCTGTTGCACTATTTCCATATCAAAAGTTGTTATTACGTGACTTTTTGTTATTTATCCTATTCCCTTTATACCTTCTGTCACCACATTAAACCATTGTTGTGCCAAGGTCATGAGCCAAAACGGTAATCCAGTTGTTAAGAACCTATAAATATAAAACACCCAATAAAAGTGCTTTAGCATAACCCATCCGTTTTCTTATTTTCCTATTTACTTACGGTATTAAAATAGATCGAGCAGCGTGGTCAGGTTGGAATTCCCAAGGAATTAAAGTATCCACCTTCAAAATGGCACGCGCAGTGATTTCAGGTGATTGGAAGAATTCGTCAGGATGGACATAGCCCGGTAAACTGGCCATCATCCATCTGAGCCAAAGTAATACACCATAACAGACCAAAAACCCTTTCCCCATGTTATTGATTAAGAATCGTAAAGAGAAGGGGAAAAAATAAAAATCCTATTCGGCTTTACTTTATGTCCGTTCATGATTTATCCGAGTTTCAAGCGCCGATCGAATCGTTTGATTTTTCATGCACAGAGACAGCTTTTTTATTGGGGATGAAGTAAAAAAATGCTATATAATAAAAACTATAGGGGAAAAAAAAAGGATGGGATGTGCTAATAAAAGAGACATGAAGGAATGAATATCTTGTAGTAACAAAAGAGGATGGGATATGTATAATAAGATGTGACAAAGAAGAGTAGAGATGTAAAAAGAGTAAACAGAGATGGGAGATGATGAGGAAGGTTATAATCTATGGCTTGACACCCAGAGTCAAACGGATACCCATACTCATCAATTCAGTTGTGAGATAACGGAAGACATAAGGAATGGCCACGACATCGATTCCCTTTGAGGTTTGACAGGTTCGGCATTCAAAGGAGCGTTGATTACCAAGGGAAGAGATGATCTTGGTGCAGATGGGCGATACCAGTGATCCACAGAGGCGACACACATGGGCTTGAGAGTAATCGGAGCAATTCATCAATCGGTCTTGAAGTAAGAAACTGGTACCATGCGCCAATAATGAATCACGTTCCATTTCACCAAATCGAATACCACCAGCACGTTTACGACCCTTGACAGGTTGCATGGTCAGGTTATGGACAGGACCAGTAGTTCGCACTTGGAATTTATCGTTAACCATGTGACGGAGACGTTGATAATAAACCACACCAATATAGATATCCATCTTCATTTCTTCACCAGTAATACCAGAGTACATTGCTTCGTTACCATGATAATTGTAGCCCGCCGATAATAGTTGTTCACCAAAGTAGTCCGCCGCCGTGAATTTTTCGTTGAATTTGAATGGTGTACTGTCTTGAGCAATACCATGAAGTGCACCAGCCTTACCAGCCAAACTTTCCACAAACATACCAATAGTCATACGAGAGGGGAAAGCATGAGGGTTAATGATGACATCTGGTTGCATCCCTGATTCCGAGAATGGCATGTCGACCGCCGGCCATTTCTGAGAGCACACACCCTTTTGCCCGTGACGAGAGGAGAACTTATCACCAATGACAGGAGATCGAGTGATACGTAACTTGATATGCACCTTTTGGAGTTCGTTGCCAGCATCGTCACCCACCAGTCGGATTTCATCCACATAAGCAT